ACTGCCGACAATTATGAGAAGAGGTGGCCCGGCTGTTCAATAATGGATATTTCTGAGAGTTCCTGAGTGATCGGGCCAAGAACCACTTCAGGAACATGGATTCTAATAAGCAGGCCGGGTAGGAGGAACCTCAGCACGTCATTAACATAATCATCGGTGGGGTCAACATTCCCTAGGGGTTGATGCTAAAGCGCACCAAAGTATCCATCACAAGGGAGAAACGGAATCGGGATTAAGTGCCGGAAGGAACCTTGTATTTCAACGACAAATACGCCGGGGGGATAGTGCAGCCCCACAACGATGCACTGGTAATATCAATACTCGTAAATAAACCTCGAATTAAGCGTGTGTTAATTGATCCAGGTAGCTCAGCCAACATCATCAGATCGAGGGTCGTGAAATAACTCGGCCTACAAGATCAGATCGTACCTGCGGTCCGAGTCCTGAAAGGGTTCAACATGGCATACGATACCACTAAAGGGGAGATTCCATTACCGGTGAACATCGCCGGAACTGTAAAGGAAGCCAAGTTATATATAATCGAAGGGGATATGAGATACAACGATTTGTTCAGGAGGCCATTGATTCACAACATGAGAGCAATACCCTCGACGCTACACCAGGTGCTGAAATTTCCAACACCTGGAGGAATCAAAATAATTTATGTTGAACAATCGGCTTCCAAGGAGATGTTCGCGGTCGATGAGGTGATCCCGACATCCACATTCTCGACATCGGAGGATCCGAATCGGATGGTCAAAGATTGGGTCAAATAGCAATCATCGATACCAGTCTTGACAAAATCGGAGGAACGAGGGGTAGACGAGGACGACGACTACGGAGTCCCGAGAACTTTCATAGCCCCCGACGATTCTGACGCTACAAAATCAATGGTCGAGGAACTGGAGCAAGTCGTACTAATCCAGCGCTTGTCCGATCAAATGGTATACCTGGGCACGGGGTTAAACCCCGAGCTCAGGAAAAAACTCATTCAATTTCTTATAGCTAACGAAGATTATTTTGCTTGGTCCCACCTTGATATGACAGGGATCCCGCCAGAAATAATCACTTACAAGATTAGTCTCGACCCGAAGTTCCACACGGTCAAGTAGAAGAGGAGACCCCAGTCCGAGATCAGACATGCTTTTATTTGACGAGGTATCTAAACTCCTTAAATTAAGGTCCATTCGGGAGATTAAATACCCGGATTGGCTAGCGAATGTAGTGGTAGTCCCTACAAAGGGGAATAAATTAAGAATGTGTGTAGACTATAAAGATTTGAATAAGGCATGTCCCAAAGACTCCTTTCCTTTGCCCAACATCGATCGCATGATCAATGCCACGACCGACCACGAGATTCTCAGTTTTATCGACGCCTAATCTAGGTACAACCAAATACAGATGAACCCGAGCGATCAGGAAAAAACCTCCTTCATCACTAAGTACGACACTTACTGCTATAACGTGATGCCATTTGGATTAACAAATGTCGGTGCCACTTACCAATGCCTAGTAAATTGGATGTTCGAGGAACAAATAGGAAAATCATGGAGGTTTACATTGATGATATGTTGGTTAAGTCCTTTCGAGCAGAGAACCATTTGAAATATTTGTAGGAAACCTTCAGCATATTGATGAAGTACAATAAGAAGCTGAACCCGGATAAATATGCATTTGGAGTTGGATCCGGTAAATTCCTAGGATTCATGGTGTCCAAACGGGGAATCGAGATCAATCCCGACAAGATCAAAGCCATTGAAGATATCACGGTTGTGGACAACGTGAAGGCCGTGCAAAGATTAACCGGACGCATAGCCGCCCTGGGGCGATTCATCTCGAGGTCCTTTGACAAGAACCACCAATTCTTCTTATTATTGAAGAAGAAGAATAACATTTCATGGACACTTTACGCCGGCTTTATGCCGGCCCTAATACCCGAGGTCGAAAGATAGTTATTGTTGAACTCGGGGACTTCTTCGGGGATCTGGACCCTCTTTATGGATGACGCCTCGAACGCAAAAGGATCCAGACTTGGCATCGTATTAAAGTCACCAACAACCAATGTAGTTAGCCAATCTATTAGGACTATAAAATTGACTAACAACGAGGCCAAATATGAGGCCATGATTGCAGGTCTCGAACTAGCCAAAGGCTTGGGGGCGGAGGTGATCGAAGCTAAGTGCGACTCCCTCCTTGTGGTGCACTAAGTTAATGAGACATTCAAGGTCAGAGAAGAACGAATGCAAAGGTACCTGGATAAGTTACAAGTAACATTACATCGATTCAAGGAGTGGACTCTACAACACATGCCTCGAGATCAAAACAGTGAGGTCGATGCCCTTGCTAACCTGGGATCGTCGGTTGAGGATGATGATTTCAACTCGGGGGAAGTCGTACTACTCATGAGATCAGTAGTAGAGGAAGGCCACGCTGAAATAAACTCAACAAGCCTGACTTGGGACTGAAAAAAATAAATATATCGAATATCTGAAGACCGAAAAACTGCCCTCGGATCCAAAAGAATCGAGGGCCCTGCATAAGAAGGCAGCCCGATTTAGCTTGTCCGAAGACGGAACCGTGTTCAGAATAATATTCGATGGCCCACTCGAGATATGTCTAGGACCAGAAGATATCGAGTATATTCTGAGGGAAATTCACGAATGCACCAGCGGAAATCATTCAAGGCTCTGAATTATTAGTTCGAAAGATAATCAGAGTCGTCTACTACTAAATCGACATGGAAAAGGATGCGAAGGAGTTCGTACGAAAATGTGATGAATGTCAAAGACATGTTTCGATGATTCATCAACCCAGGGAGCTGCTTCATTCGGTTTTGTCACCATGGTCGTTCATGAAATGGGGGACGTACATCATTAGCCCCCTTCCATGGGCACCCGATAAAGCTCAATTTATATTGTTTATGACTGACTATTTTTCTTAGCAGGTGGAATCCTAGGCATATGAGAAAGTCAAAGAGAAAGAAATCATTGATTTCATTTGGGACCACATCATATGTCGGTTCGGAATGCCGACCGAGATCGTGTGCGACAATGGGAAATAATTCATCGGCAGCAAAGTAAGTAAGTTTCTCGAAGACCATAAGATCAAAAGGATCCTATCAACGCACTACCAACCTAGTGGGAACGGACAAGCAGAATCGACCAACAAAATCATATACTAAAATCTCAAAAAAAGAGGTTAACCGACACCAAAGAAAAATGGAAGGAAATTATGCCCAAAGTCCTATGGACATATCGCACGACCTAGAAGTCCAGTACCGGGGCCACCCTGTTCTTGTTGGTTTACGGCGCAAAAACTCTAATACCGGTCGAAGCCGGAGAACCAAGTCTCAGGTTCAGATATACAACCAAAGAATTAAATGATGAGGCCATGAACACGAGCCCGGAGCTATTAGATGAGGGTAAACACAGAGTCTCCTAATTCTCGGTTTCGACAATGCACTCCACCAAAGAGACAAATTTTAGCCTTTTCTTCCAAAATAGCGTGCTGTCGACTAATCCCTTATGTATATGTATTAGATAATGACCTTATCCTCTAACTTAAGTCTTTGTACGTAGGACACCATAGAAATAATGTGGGCCTAGCCCATTTTTTTTATCATTATTTATTATTTTAATTATTTTATTACCCAACTAATATGTGTAATATAGGCTCAATAATTATTTAATTAATCTCAATCTCACAAATAATAAGTATATCAAAATATTTTGGGCTGTTACACCTAGGGACAAAGCGGACGATTGGCAAGTTGGAATTGAAAGAACGAAGATGAAATGGGTGCTTTAACTTTACTGGTCGTGTCTGGTGTCTCAGATTTAAAGGGAAAAAAGGAAAGTCAGCAGGATTTGGAGACAGAGAAGCAGGGAAGGACGATTTGATTCAGGATTTTGTAACCTTGCACTGATTTGTGTAAGGTTCCATGACTGAGAGGGTTTGAAAGGATGAGAAAAAAGAGAGAGGAAAGGGAAAGAGAGGCGGCAGGGGAGGTGGTAAATGATTAGGGTTTAGGGGGTCATTTCTGAGTTAAAATTGGGAGATGGAATGGGAGCCGTTGGATCTTTTGATCAACGACTCCAGTTGTTTTGATAATTAAGAATTTAAAAATGATTTAATGGAGAAAATTCAATGGTCGTTGGATCTCTCTAATCAGACGGTTGAGATTAAATCTTAATAAGATAAAAAAATAAGAAGAAAATAGAGATTAAACGCGGACCGTTGATGAGATGGATTAATGGTCCATATTGATTTGTGCTTTCTTTCTGAGTGAGAGAGACGAGCGACGTGGCACATTGTGATTGGTTTAGGGAGAGGGACGCGGATCGCCACAATGGATTAGAGGGGTTGTTTAGACTGGGTCTTGGGCTGGGTCTTGGGATGGAGATAATTTAAAGAATGGCCAATTGGTCTTTAATAGAGAATTGCAATTATAGCCCTTAGCCTCTTTTGATCCCTTTTATAATTAAATTAAATAAGCTTAATAATTTTCAGTAAAACTATAATTATTATATACATTGCTAACTATTGTAATTAATTATTATAAATACTTTATTTTAGCATTATAGAACTAATTTAAAAATATTAACATAGTAATCTAATTTACTAAAAATTAAGGAGTAATTTTGTCAAATTAATTATAAACTCTGTGTGATGTATATAAAGGTTATTTTAATAATCTTAAAATAGTACGTATATTATATAACACTAATGCTAGGTGATTAATTTCAAAACTAATAATTAAATAATTTGTATAAAAGGTATTTATTACTAGAACATACTTTCAAAATATTTATTGTATATTATTAAGTATAAGTAAATTAATTTTAAAAGGGAAGGTCAAAATTGGCCGTCAACACCGAGGAGGACCAGGCAAAGATGAACGAGCTGGGCACGTCAAGTCTCTTCAACGAGGCGCGTCAGGCTCTGAACCAGGTAAGACGCCAACACTTTTACACCCCTTTATGAATTCCACTTAAGTTTTGATGTCTCGTACTACCGTCGTTGTTTTACGGGCCTTAGTGCTTCACTATGAAAGCTTCCTCCGGTACCGCTTGGAAATCAGCCAGCTCGAGTTCGAGCTCAAAGAGCAGGCCCGGAAGAAGGACATGTATAGGATTCTCAATGAGCAACAGGATGAGGCCCTTAAAGACCTCCCGATTCTCCAGGCCGAGCTGGAAAAAACCCAGAAGGAGGCCTCCACCTTGAAGCGGGAACATGCCGACCTGGTTGAAAAGGTAAAGGTCTTTGAAGCTAAAAACGAGGAGCTAGTTGTGGTGACTAACAACACTATTTCGCAGGTCCAACAGAAGATAGACTTGATCGACCAGCTCCGGGACGAGATGAACGAGGTCAAGGCCATGGTCGAATGGTGGAAGGGTAGGATGGACCTGCTGGCTTCAGAGAAGGAAACTACGAATGCGGAGCTGGCATTGGTTGAGAATCAACTACGAGTGGTGAAGGACAAAGCTGATAAGTGGTCTCAGCTGAATAATGATCTCCGAGCACAGCTGAACTTGGTCGTCGCAAAACGGGATGCACTCGGAAGAGAATATGAGGCGCTGAGGTCCAAATTGGAGACAACCTCTGCTGATGCCGAGAAAATGGTGGCCTAATACAAGGCCGATGTGGAGGCAGTCGAGACCCACCTGAAGACAAAGGCTAATACGAGAAGCGACTATCTCAAAGAGAGACCATCAAAGAGATCCACGCCCGAGGCTTCGACCTATTGGCCGAGATCGAGGAAGCTAAGTAGCTCGAGGCAGAGGAAAAGGAGCTCTACGAGCATGAGGATGCTGAAAGCTTTGAGGGCTCCGAGGGATCTAAGGGCTCCGACGGTTCTCGCGATGAGTCGTGCCCCGGTGAAGACCAAATGTGGATGCCTTAGTACTTTTTCAGTGTTTGTTTTTCGTTATGTATATTTTCTTTTTGTTCATGTTGAGACCATTTTATTGGGCCTTTGTAAATATATTTTGGGATATATATATGAAATATTCCCTTTCTGGCAATATCGTGTCTTTACTTTTCCAGTATTTTATATTCGTGTATTGTTTTTGGTGCCTTAGCATAGAATCAGATGTAGTTCCGAGGTATTCATTTTTCGGAAGTTCGAATGAAGCCCGACTTCGAGGAAACTTTGTTTGCTCGTGGCTTTGGACCCTCGATGAGGCCGTAGGTTCTCAAGATTCTTAAGTGTTTTTAGTAGGTTTCGATTTTTTTTGTTAAGGCCTTACTTTCTGGTTACGGGCTTCGGACGTCTCCGAGCCATTTTTAAGATGGTCGTAGCCTTTTGTATTTGGGCACCGACTTATGGGTTTGGTGCCTCCGGGATTCGATTGCCCGGGTCGTTCAAATTTTCTTCGGGCGACAGTCCCCGAGTAGGGGTAGCACTTGGGCTCGATAGTCCCCGAGTAGGGATAGCCCTTTGGGTTCTAGGATCCGGAATCGATAAAGAAAAAAATGCGTAAGAGTAAAGCGGAATTTTCTTTCATTTCTCAGCGAATAAAAACTTGTGTCATGGCTAGAGTGAACCATGTGAGCATGGTTCTTACAACCTTTTGGCCCTTACAATGAATCTTAACCACCAAGCTTTAGCTTTTAGCATACAAAGTTTTCTTTTTTCCTTGCTAAAAACCTTAATCGAGGGTAATAGCCCCCAGTATTCGAGGTCAAACTTGTGCGGGCTCGGATACTATTGATATGAAGTGAACGATCATTGACTCTGATTTGAAACCGGTCTTCGAATCTAAGTTAGCACGTTTTACTGTTGCCTCGTTAAAAATCTTGCCTAAAAACCCATTTTGGGACAAAACCGGTTCACGAAAAAAAGAGTGCAGCGCGTGCTTTCAGACCTAATAGTCACATCCATCCTTGGTCGTTTACCTGCAAATGTTATTTCGGTTTATAACATGATTAAAGAGTAATTGAGTTCGTACCTTAGCAGTAGTACCGCTTTAAGTTTGCCATGTTCCAGTTGTTCGGTAGTTGTACTTCATTTCCCACTTCGAGTTGGGACGAGCCCTTGTTGGTTATTCCGACAACTTGATATGGTCCTTCCCAGTTCGGTCCCAGCTTTCCCTCGTTCGGGTTCCTGGTGTAATGTTACTTTCCTCAACACCAAGCCCCCGACTTAAAAGTGTTGGAGGCTGGCTCTTCGGTTGTAATACCTTTCTATTCGTTGTTTCTGGGCGGCCAACCGGACCAGGGCGGCCTCCCACCTTTCATCCAATAGTTATAGGCTCGTGATCATGGCCTCGCCGTTTGGCTTTTCTATCGCATATTGGAACACGAGGCTTGGATATCCCACCTCGATTGGTATTAAGGCTTCAGCTTCGTAGACCAAGGAAAATGAGGTGGCCCCGGTGCTAGATTTTGAAGTCGTACGGTACGCCCATAGGACTTCGGGCAGGATCTCCTTCCATTTTCCTTTCGCACTGGTCAACCTCTTTTTCAAGTTTTAAAGTATGGTCTTGTTTTTTGGTTCTGCCTGTCCATTTCCACTTGGGTGATAAGGTGTCAATAGTATCTTCTTGATCTTGTGATCTTCGAAAAATTTACTTACTTTGCTGCCGATGAATTGTTTCCTGTTATCGCAAATGACCTCGGTCGGTATTTCAAATCAACATATTATGTGGTCCCAGATAAAGTCAGTGACTTCTTTCTCCTAGACCTTTTCTAATGCTTGATCCTCGATCCATTTGGAAAAATAATCTCTCATGAATAGTATAAATTAAGCTTTACCGGGTGCCCACAGCAGGGGACCGACAATATCCATTCCCCACTAAATAAATGGCCATGGGGACAAAACCAAGTGGAGAGTTTCTCCCGGTTGATGGACCATCGGGGCGTGTCTCTGGCAGTCATCGCATTTTTTACGAAGTCCTTCACGTCTTTCTCCATCTCGATCCAGTAATAACCGGCCCTGATCAATTTCCAAACCAAATATTCTGCCCCCGAATGGTTTCTGCAACTACCCTCGTGGACTTCTCTCAGGGCATATTCGGTCTCTCCCGGTCCCAAACACCTAGCTAGCGGGCCGTCGAAAGTTCTCCTGAATAGTGCCCCTTCGACCAAGCTAAATCTGGAAGCCTTGGTACATAGGGCTCTCGATTTTTTGGGATCCGAAGGCAATTTTTCGGTCTTCAAGTAATCAATATACCTGTTCCTCCAATCCTAAATTATACATATTGAGTTTACTTCGGCATGGTCTTCTTCTATCACCAATTTCATGAGCTACACTACCATTCCCGAACTGAATTCATCATCATCAACCGACAATCTCAAGTTAGCTATAGCATCGGCTTCATTGTTCTGATCTCGGGGTACTTGTTGTATGGTCCATTTCCTGAATTGGTGCAGCGTTACCTGTAATTTATCCAAGTACCTTCGCATCCGTTCTTCTTTTATTTTGAACGTTCTGTTAACTTGGTTTACCACGAGGAGGGAGTCGCATTTAGCTTTGATCACCTCGGCCCCAAGGCTTTTAGCCAATTCTAGACCTGCAATCATGGCCTCGTACTCGGCCTCATTGTTAGTCAATTTCACAGTTCTAATAGATTTCCTAATTACATTTCTTGTGGGAGGTTTTAATATGATGCCGACCCCAGACCCCTTCGCGTTTGAGGCACCGTCCGTAGAAAGGGTCCAAATTCTCGAGATGGTCCACGAGGATAACAACAATTCCCTCTTGACTTTGGGTATTAAGTCCGGCGTAAAGTCGACCACGAAGTTTGCCAAAATCTAAGATTTTATGGCGGTTCGGGGTCGATACTCGATATAGTACCCGCTAATTTCAACGGCCCATTTGACCAACTGGCCCGAGAGCTCAGGTTTGTGCATGATGTTCCTCAGTGGGTAAGAAGTTACGACACATATGGGGTGGCATTAAAAGTATGGCTTTAACTTCCTGGAGGCGCCTAGCAAAGCAAGCGCCAATTTTTCCAAGAGTTCTACTGACATAGTAAATAGGAAATTGCGTACCTTCTTCCTCCTGGACTAAGACTCCACTTATCTCCACCTCGAAAACCGCCAGGTAAAGGTACAACTATTCGTCCTCCTTCGGAGTGTGGAGTAGGGGCGGACTCAATAGGTACCATTTGAGTTCTTCCAAAGCTTGCTGGCATTCTGGGGTCTAGGAAAAGTTATTCTTCTTCTTTAATAGTGAAAAGAACCAATGGCTTTTGTCCAAGGACCTCGATATGAACCGACCCAAGGCGGTTATACGCCTGGTTAGCCTTTGAACGGCCTTGACGTTATCCACCACGGTAATTTCCTCTATGGCTTTGATTTTGTTGAGAATGATCTCGATCCCTCGATTAGACACCATGAACCCGAGGAACTTTCTCGATCCGACCCCGAATGCACACTTCTCCGGGTTCAGCTTCATATTGTATTTCTTCAATATATCGAAGGTCTCCTGCAAATGTTTCAAATGGTCCTCTGCTCCCAGGGACTTGACTAACATGTCGTCAATATAAACATCCATTGATTTCCATATTTGTTCTTCTAACATCCGGTTTACTAGGCGTTGATATGTGGCACCGGTATTTTTTAATCCGAACGGCATTACATTATAGCAATAGGTGCCGCACTTAGTGATAAAAGAAGACTTTTCTTGATCGCTCAGGTCCATCCGAATTTGGTTGTACCCGGAATAGGTATCGAGAAAACTGAGTATCTAATGCCCGGTCGTCGTGTTGATTATCCAATCGATGTTAGGCAAAGGGAAATAATCCTTGGGGCATGCCTTTTTTAGATCATTGTAATGTACACACATTCTCAGCTTATTTTCTTTTTTTAGGCACTACTACTACGTTAGCGAATCGGTCCGAGTACTTAACCTCCCGAATGGATCCTATTTTAAGGAGTTTAGATACCTCATCCTTGATGAATGCATGCTTTATCTCGGACTGCGGTCTCCTTTTTTGCTTAACCGGATGGAACTTCGAATCCAAACTTAGCTTATGAGTGGTTGCCTCCGGCGGGATCCCTGTCTTGTTAAGATGGGACAAAGCGAAACAATCTATGTTAGCTTTAAGGAAATCAATGAGTTTTTTCCTGACCTCGGGGGTTAACCTCGTGCCCAGGTATACCTTTTGATCATGTAGGTGTTCGATTAATATGACTTGCTACAACTCTTCGACCATTGATTAGGTGGCGTTGGTGTCATCAAGAGCTATGAGCGATCTCGGGACTACGTAATCATCCTCCTCGTCTACTCCTCGTTCCTCCGGTTTGGTCGAGACCGACATCGATGGTTTCTATTTAATTTCTTCCTTTCTGGTCGGCCTCGTGCTCCTTGATGTCAAAACTGTGGGCACCAGGATTACCTCGTCGACTGTGAACATTTCCTTTGCGGTCAGCTGCTCTCCGTAGACCGGCTTGACTCCTCCCAACATAGGACCTTCAGCGCCTGGTGTAAGATTGAGGGTCCTGCCGTCATGTTATGAACCCACGGCCTTCCGAAGAGGTCGTTGTACCCCATGTCCCCTTCGATCACGTAGAACTTTGTCTCTTGGATTATCCATGTGGTATTCATCGGCAGGTTTATCTCCCCTTTAGTGGTTTCGCATGTCATGTTAAATTCGTTCAACACCCGGACCGCCGGCATTATTTG